TCCAATCAGCGAGCTGTTTCCGGTATTGTTCCTGTAATGAGAGTTCACATTTATGCTACATTGAAGGGTGGAATTGACTACACATCTTCAGAAACATAATTTGCTTCAGATATAACTCATAGCAAATTTCTGTTTCATCCCATCACAAAACAAGTTGTTTCTCAGAATTGAAGGGGAAAAACACAAAAGCATTTTACACAATTTAAACCTATCAATGTTGTTTAATTAACGAAGGTAACCTGGTGTTTTTGAGTTGATGAGTAGTGGAGATATCACTGTCGAATCAATCGATAGTAAGGAGAATACTTACTTCCGGGTGTACAATTATCCGTTATCCAATGGGAAGGGACGCTCACATTGCCTTTAAGAGCTGCCGACATAAATGGATACGGTGCTTCCCTAAGCGTTAAATACCGCCGCCGATGGGAATACATTGCAATCAGTTGAAAGCTCTTTGCGTCCGTTTATGAAGCTGAAGGAGCCTCGGCGCGTCACAACTGGACGCCACGGGACCCTGACCAAGCGTTGCTCCTAGACGCTTAGGGAGTGAGAGTGTGTTGCACGGATAGATACCGCAGGTCCTTCCTGCAGCGGCCAGACTATACAATAATAACTGTGCAATATAAGCCTGGCTGCTAAATCCTAAGAATTGTTACAGGATGTATTTTGTAAATTGTGTAACTTTTTATAATTTTTTTATTATATTAAAACATCTTATTTTTATTTATTTTTACTTTAATACTTTTTAATGCTTGTAATATATGTAACATTAAGCTGTCTGTGGCTCTTTTTCTACTGTAACAACGTGCATTTCCCCTCTGTGGGACTAATGAAGGTATTCTGATTCTGATTTTAATGTTCCCCGTTATAAATGTATTTTTTAAAGGATGTATTCATTGTTAAATGTATGTATTTATTTTTTCATCTTGAGACAAATAAAGGTAAAAAGAAAATACAAAATTACGTTTTGAGTGTATTCAGATTGCGGGTTCCCTCTTCTATCATAATTTATAGAGGTGCAACCTTAAACATGTACAGCAGTAAAATGCAACATTGACAATAATCAAGAAACCTCAAATAAAACACTGACGGGGAACATTTTATTGCAGTATCATTACTTTTACATAAGAACGTGCTGTATATTTTTCTGAGAATACGTGCATACTTTTACTTAAATAAGGTTTAAATGCAGAGTGTTTAATTTGTAACAGAGTATTACCTTTTTATAGGCGTAGTGTAGCTGTGGACGATCCCAAATACAATTCATTGTTTACATTGCAGCTAGGGCTAAACCGGGAAGAAAAACCCCTTTTTCTTTTTTAACTGGAAGTGGAAAGGGGTTGGGCTACATGAGGTGAATTGAGCCAACAAAAATACACAATAGGCGGGACTAAGAAAGATAATATGAAAGTATAAAAACAAAGGCATTAATTAGGGCTGCAAAATGTCTCCCATTTTAATGATGATTAGATTTTTTAAATGCTAACACTTGACAGTTTTTTCTGACGGTGTGTTTCCTGTTTCCTGCAGAGGTCCAGAAGCTGGTGGTGGTTAAAGAAGAGCTTCTCCCTGACCAGCAGGAGTGGAGCACCAGCCTGGACCAGGGGGACCCAGAGCCCCCCCCACAAATTAAGCAGCCACAGGAGGAACTCAGGATCAGGAGGGAGGGAGCGCAGCTTCAGGAACTGGAGGATGCTGAGATCACCAAGTCCACTTTCACTCCTGACCCTGTGAAGAGTAAAGATGCTAAAAAGAAACCTCAGTCCTCACAGCCTCATCAAAGACAAACTGAACACATGGAAACAGAAGCTGATGGAGATGACTGTCGAGGACTGTCGAGGACCAGAACCAGGAACAAAGATCCAGAGAGCCGTTTACAACAAAAGACTGGAGACTCTTCTGAACCTGACACTGAAGACTCTTCTGAACCTGACACTGAAGACAGTGGTGATTGGAAGGGGACCAGAAAACCTGCGTCAGGCTCAAAATCACTGAAAAATAGACAAGAATCTGTCAGTGATTCAAGCCGTAGTGCTGAAAAGAAACCATTCAACTGCTCAGTCTGTCCCAAATCTTTTACATTGAGTGAAAGTTTAAAAAAACACATGAGAGTCCACACAGGAAAGAAACCATTCAGCTGCTCAGTCTGTAAGAAACCATTTGCAGTGAGAAGAGATTTAAATCGACACATGAGAATCCACACAGGAGATAAACCCTTTAGCTGCTCAGTTTGTACCAAATCGTTTGCATTGATTATAAGTTTAAAGGAACACATGACAATCCACACAGGAGAGAAACCACACAGCTGCTCAGTCTGTAAGAAAGCTTTTGCAATGAAAAGAGATTTAAATCGACACAAGAGAATCCACACAGGAGAGAAACCCTTTAACTGCTCAGTTTGTACCAAATCTTTTTCACAGAAGGGAAGTTTAAAGGCACACATGAGAGTCCACACAGGAGAGGAAAAATACAGCTGCAATGTTTGTGACAAAAGATTTAAATGGCATAATCATTTCAAAACACACAAGTGTGTTGGTCGTCAGCTGCTTCCGTAACTGTAAGGGAATACATTTGCCTATTTTGTATCCCGATGACCTAATGCCATTACATGTAATACGGTACTCCCTAAGTCTGAATAAGGCACGTTTTAGAGAGTCGAAGTACGTCTTTGGCAAGGCGTGAGAGATGCTAAATGACAATACTCTGAGAAACTCCAACATCAGCTCTCAGCAAACGACTCTGCTTCTGTTTGGCGTGGTCTAAGACGGATCACAAACTACAAGCCAAAAGCCTACTGCAAAGAGTTCAGTCCTGACATCATCCCCCATGACACCTTGCAACAGCTTCAGACTCACACCTCCACATCCCCCTCCACTTCAGTATCTCACTCCCCCACACCGCTGACCTCCCCTGACACATGGGACTCTCTCTCAATTGATGAAAGGGATGTAAACAGACTATTCAGAAAACTCAATACCAGAAAAGCGGCTGGCCCTGACAATGTCTCCCCCTCCACCCTGAAGCTCTGTGCTGATCAGCTGTCTCCTGTGTTTACTTTCATCTTTAACACCTCACTGGAGACATGCCACGTCCCAGCATGCTTCAAAATCTCCACCATCATCCCGGTTCCCAAGAAAACAAGGATCACAGGATTAAATGACTACAGACCCGTCGCCCTGACCTCTGTGCTTATGAAGTCCTTTGAGCGCCTTGTCCTGTCCCACCTGAAATCCATCACAGACCCACTCCTGGATCCCCTGCAGTTCGCCTACAGAGCCAATAGGTATGTGGACGACGATGTCAACATGGCCCTTCACTTCCTCCTCCAGCACCTGGACACAGCAGGAACCTAAGCCAGGATCCTGTTTGTGGATTTCAGCTCCGCCTTCAACACCATCATCCCGGCTCTGCTGCAGGACAAGCTCTCCCAGCTGCACGTGCCCGACTACACCTGCAGGTGGATCACAGACTTCCTGTCTGACAGGAAGCAGCACGTGAGGCTGGGGAAACACTTCTCTGACCCCTGGACCATCAGCACCGGTTCCCCTCAAGGCTGCGTTCTTTCCCCTCTGCTCTTCTCCTTGTATACCAACAGCTGCACCTCCAGTCTCCAGTCTGTCAAGCTCCTGAAGTTCAGACGACACCACCCTTATCGGACTCATCTCTGGTGGGGACGAGTCTGCCTACAGGTGGGAGATGGACCATCTGGTGACCTGGTGTGGGGAAAACCACCT